TCATTTTCATTTTTTTTTGGGGGGTACCGGGGATAGAACTCAGGATCTTGCACTTTCGAGGCAGGCCGTGGAGCCACTGAGCTAAATCCCCAGCCCAGATTTTCATTTTAAAATTGATCTTATTAATGTACCTGCAAATTAACACCTCTTACAACCAAAATAGAGGAGTAAAATAAATAAATTCAGGTATTTACATACATACAATAAAATATTTTAAAGCTATTAAAATCCCTCTTGAAAGGTAGTGATAGAGGAAGATGTGAATGTAAAATTAGGCTGAAACCATTAGAGATAAAACTGTAGCTATGATGTAACTTGATTGTTTAAAAACATATAAACATGTGCACGGGTGGGCAGAATCAGGTGTCACGCAAAGTCAGCAATGGGTACATTTAGGACGGAGGCCCCAAGAAATTCTAGTGAACCATTCCAGCCACTAGGTAGCTGCTGCAATAATGTACAAGGTATAGTAGAAAACTACAGCGAATGTTTGGATGTTAAAAAAATGATTATAATAAAAGTCACATTTCCGTGAATCCCCTCAAAACCATTCCTCTTGCTTAGCACATACTTAGCATTTTTAAAATTTTTCATAATTTATATTGGTCCATGTTTGGAGTACATAACGATCGCATTTCTCATGCAGAGTTGGTGGAGGTGTGTGTGTATATATAGATATATATATATATATAAAATCTTAATTTATTTTTATGTCCCCTTTCCTTCTCCTCTCTCCATTGTCCTCAACACTTTGTGCAGCAGCCCTGGAGTCCTCGTTTCTGTCTTTAGTTGCACTGCTGTAGCTGACTTGTTGTCCTGAGTTGATCTAAAATATTTACTTTTCCTGGTTACTTTTACTTCTGTAAAGATCTAGGAGTCACACAGAAGATCTGGTGAGTGGTGGGTGAGGACAGAGTGCTGTATTTTTTGTTTTTTGAGGCAGGGTCTCACTATGTCATTGAGACTGATCTGGAACTCACTATGTAGCCCAGGCTGGTCTCGAACTCATAGCGATCCTCCTGCCTCAGCCTCCTGAGTGCTGGGATTACAGGTGTGGGCCACCACACCAGGAAGTGCTATATTTTTTTAAGAGCCTGCTTTTCCATTGTCTTTGGTCACACGGGGTAAAGACCCTCAGGAAAGAGGACTCCAGAGCTGCTGCAGGAAGTGGCGAGGATGATGGGAGGAGGGTGTTTGAAGTGAGGGGAGGATTCTGTGGGGATTTGTGGCAGTGTCTTTTACTGTAATAATAATGTCTGATTGAACACTCACTGAACATTCCGCTCACCTCAAGGTCTGGCACACTGCTGTTGAGCCGGTGTGAAGGGTTGTGAACACAGGTCCCCTGAACTAAGATTGTGTGTAGCATACAGCACAGTAGTGCAACATGCAGGCTCATGGCTAGGCGAGGCTGTCACACAGCCGGCAAGCAGGAGTGGATGCTGTGTGGGGTCACACGGTGACAGACACGTCTCAACTCTTGTGGACTCTCAGGGCTCGGGAGCTGACCGGGTGGGGGGACCAACTGAGTCCTGCTGTCAGGGCCCTGGTGGCTGTGGGCTGCACTGGCTGCAGGGTTTGCTGGGGCCCCGCATCCTCCCAGGCAAGGTAGGCTGGTGCAGCACAGCACCAGGCCAAATGCAAATTGTTTTCAAGTGGGCAAAGGAGCTTGCTTCAGGGGTGCCAAGGAACTCTCCATTTCGGCAGTTATTTTGTGTGCACTCACTATGATCATCCAATAAAACCTCCACTGCTGTGGAGCCCTTAGACTTTGCCTTTAGGAAGTGCTGTCAGGGAAGCGACCACAGATGTCTTCTCGTTTGCTAGGCTGACTTGAGTGCTTTTCAAAGTCAGGTCCAGCCTGCAAGGCTGCAAGCTTTCTCTTTCATTGTGAAACTGCTGCTCTCTTGAGAGCTGGTTTGGCCTGGCAACAGCTTGGAGATGCCCACAGAGCCTATAGGTACTCAGGCTGGGGCACCACTCCTGACCTCAAGGAGCCATGAGGCCCTCAGATAGGGTGCTGACTTGTTAAATTGTGCAGACTGGGCTCGAACTTGTGATTCTCCTGCCTCAGCCTCCCAGAGGGCTGCAAGACCCGTATCAAAACAAAAATAAAAAAGATCAGGGGACACAGATCAGTACGAAGGCCCTGGTTTCAATCCCCAGGATGCCAGAAAAGTGCAAAATGAATTAAAAGCTGTATTTTTAGTTCATCTAATAGATTGAAAAGATCATTCCAACATGTGGTCAGTGGAAAGTTGTTAAGGCGTTTTTCATAGTAAGTCTCTGAGAGCTGCTGTGTGCTTCACACCTGGCTCCCTTAATGTGGCCTGGTCACATCCCGTGCATCACTGGCCGCCTATGGCTGGGAGCCACTGGATCGGGTGGTGCTTGTGGAAGTCGAGCTCCTGTCATGCACCTTTTCGTCTCCGGCACCTGCCCAGCAGTAGACCACTGATACGTAGTCAGCTGGGGATTTAGCTTAGTGGCACCATGGCTGCCTCTCAAGTGCGAGGTCCTGAGTTCGATCCTCGGTACCGAAAAATAAAATAGATAAATACTTGCTGCGGACCCCCACCCCACCCCCCTCTCTCCCTGTCTTCTTTCCTTCCTTCCTTTTTCTTTTTTTAGTACTGGGATTGAACCCAGGGTCTTTGCACTGAGCCATTCCCGCAGGTCTGTCTGAGGTGGGTGGTGGGGAGGCCAGAACTCCAGGACAGTGTGCGCGGTGATCCAGTGCTTCACTAGCCCAGTGGCCCTTGGGTGCGGCTGTGCTGGCAGACGACCTGAACAGAGCCACTCGACCTCCTGTGTCCTGGTTCCTCATCTGCAAAGAGCCTGCAGTGTCTGCCTCGCAGGGTCCGAGGGCCACGGGACAGGTGGCACAGACCGTGGCATGTGCGCAAGGGGCAGGGTGGTGACTGGCTTGGCACTGCAAGGACCCGGGGTTTGGTGGTGCTGTGCATTCCGGCCCAGCTAAGTCTCTCTGTGGTGCTGACTCCTTTTTGGGGAAGCATCCTAGGGCTCTAAGATCTGTCACTGAGCTGCCCTTTGCGGCTGGCTGGGAAAGTCCTGTCACCCTTGGGCTTTGTGAGCAAGCGTCGTGCCAGGTGCAGTGGCCCTTGCTCTGGGAGTTGCCACCTTCCCACGGGCCTGCAGATGGCTACCGGAGCAGGCGAAGGGCCCCTCTGCTGCAGGCTCTGCCCACCCCGTCCTGCCTCTTCGGGCGGACACCCCTGACTTTCCCCTGAAGCAACGACTTGAACAGCACCATTGCAAGCAATAGAAACCGAGCGTTTCCTGATCACAACCTAGTTTTGAAAACGAAAAATGGGCAAAATGAGCCAGACGTGTGGTGGTATTAAGAAAAGCAAAGGTTAACTTAATCATAAAACTCCTTTGTGGTAGCAGGCAGGAAGTGAAACAGCTTTAAATGGCAAACATTTCTCAATCATTGAATGCACCAATAACTCTGGCATTCTTTCCCCTTCGTCTCCTTAAAGTAGAAGAATGCCAGGCCCAAGCCGGGGCAGACAGGAGGAAGGCTGGGGCGGTCCTGCAGCCCTGGGCCAGCTCTGCAGGAGTCCAAGGCACAGGTGGCCATGGACGGAGGTTCAGATCGGATCCTGTTAGATCCCCATGGAGGCTGAGCTGGGACCTCTTTGTCGGCCCCTCCGGCCATCTCTGCTGCGCGTGTTGGAAGTGGGGGCCCTGCCATGTTGGCCAGCAACACTCCAAGGGATTGGAGAAACCCCACAGTGCGTGAGCAGCATGGCGTGGCCTACTGGATGGCCTTGTCCTCCTTTCTCCTGCAACTTAGCTTCTTTACACAGAAAATCAAAACCTGGAGAAACATGATGGGCTACTTTCCTGAAAACAAACATATAAAAAACCAACACAGAAAACCACCATTATCGCGTGCCAGCCCACAGAGGTGGGCCTGGAGTCAAAGATGGATGTCACTGATAGACTCCTGCTTAGTTGCACTTTTTAAGATTTATTTATAGATGTTTAACAGGATATGACCCAGGGAGGTGCTCTTAATTGATTAAAACACAAGAATCTATTGGCGGAGCTTTAAAGAAATAGGTCCATTTAAAATGACAGCAATTGATTTTAATCAGTAATAGAAATGGTGTCAAGTGGAATCATGTTAATTTAAACCGGAGGAAAAGTTAATAGGAAGTAGCCTTCAAATTAATGGCTTTAGTGTCTTTCTTAGAAATTCTTTTTCAGGAGACACGTTCTTGCTCTATGCAGCTCAGGCTGGCCTCAAACTTGGACGATCCTCCTGCCTCAGCCTCCTGAGTGCTGGGATTGTAGGTGTGTACCACCACGCCTGGCTTCTAAAAAATTCTAGGATAGTCTCTGCAGTGTTCTGTGGCATTTGGTGGCTGACAGGCTAATAAGGCACAGGGAAGTCAGGGATTCTGAACTTCCAATGATGCCATGTGCTGAGCTTCTCCCTTTGCAGCTGGGAAACCCACTCTTGAATTTCCAGGGTGCAGAGTTGGATTCGCCGTCACCTTGGCCCCACATCTGGTTCAGTTCCTCCGTGGTGGCTTTTGGGGTCCATCTCCCCCACTCCAGCTTCGCGAGGGTGCAGACCCCGAATTCCTTATCTTCACCCTGCAGCCCCTCAGTGCCTGGAAAGGGGTGGCCCAGGGAACACAGGGCAGGTCTGGGCTTGGGGAGGAAGCTGTGCTAGTTTGTGGCTGGCGTCCTTCGTGCTGTTTCTGGTGTTCCCGCGCGTCTTCCTCTTTTCTCCCTAAGGTAAAACACTAAGTCTGGCTTCTCACCTTTTCGAGTGAGTTGCACTTCTAGGCCACTTTTGGGGGCTCTCTTTGCAGGAGGGAAAGTCCCCTAAGGCCCCGAAAAGTCCTCAGCGAGGGGCCGGCAAACGAGGCTGCAGGCTGAAAGCACTCGCCCCTGGAGTTGGGTGCAGAGGGCACCGCATTGCTCTTGATTAATTTCAGTGCTTTTCTCTGTTTGTCTGGCAGGGAAGTGAGCAGACTGAGAAACCGTGGTCCCACCCCAACTCTCGAAGCCAGATATCCACCTGAGATTTTCCCCTCTTGGATCTTTCCTGCTTAACCACACTTGAAACACCCTCTTTGCGTGTGGAAAACGGCTTTCGCGGTCCCCGCAGATAGCAGGTGAGAGCCGTTACACGGCTGGGCTGGGCTCGTTTTAGGGAAGTAGCTTTTTGTTTTGTTTTTTTTTTAAGCTCTGACAACCAGAAGCCTCTCTCAGGTGGAGCCATGGCACAAACGTCGTGAACAAAGGCCACTTGTGGGTCTGTGCGGAACTCTGCCGTCTCCCGTTTCTACAGAAACTGCTTGTAGGTGGGCGGCCCGGCGAGCACGCTTCCCCATTTCCATCCGTCCGGTTCTTCTCGCACCTAGACCTGTGGCTGCTCACTTGATAAAGCCCAACGGTTAGGGGAAGTCACCGTCATCGCAGCCCTGGGCTTCAGGAACCAAGTCCTCACCCTCTGCCCCTGCGCCCTTTCAAAATAACCTCTGCTCAGGGGCCCAGCTGGCCGAGGGCACTGGGGACTGTCCTGGAGGTGGGGACCTCAGATGAGCCGCGGGGACTGTTGCCATGGAGACTATCCATCACGACGGAAGCCCGGGGGAGGGGCTGGGCCGGAGAACGCGAGGAAATCACCTGCTTTTCAATAACTTGTTGGCATGAGAGCCTCTCCGGCTTTGGTTGCTGGGTCTCCCTGAGCTAAGCTAGAATGGGATGGATCAAAGATCTAAATATTAAAACAGAAACTCTTAACGCGCTGGAAGATCAAATAGGCAAGACTCTCTCGAAGACACAGCCACGTAGGTGAGGCCTTTCTGAACAGAACTCTAACTGCACAAAAAATAACTTCAAAGGTCAACGAATGGGGTCTCAGTAGATTAAAAGCCTTCAGCACAGCAAAGGAAACAGCCAACAGAGGGAGGAAACAGCCCGCAGAATGGGAAGAAAGTTTTGCCAGTTACTCTTTGAACAGAGCAGTAACATACAACTATAAATATAAAGAACTACAGGGAAGGGTGGAGGGGTTGAAGGGAGGCCAGGGGAATGGGGGGAAGACCAAGAATGGAAAGGTGCAAATTTACCATTATGAATGTCATTATATTGGAAAGAAGTAAAAAGAAAATCAGCCTCCTCAAAGTAACAGAGGCAACCAAAATGAACAGACAATTGTCAGAAAAGTGCAACGGTGAATAAATGTATGAAAAAACATTCAGCATCTCCAGCCATCAGCGAAGTGCAAATTACAACAACACGGAGACTCCATCTCACCCCAGGAAGAACGGCCACCACCAAGACATCGAATGAGCACCAATGCTGGTGGGGCTGTGGGGGACAGGAGCCCTCCCACCTGGCCAGTGGGCGTGTAAGTCAGTGTGGACACCGGTGTGGAGATTCCTCAGGAAGCCAAAGCTAGAAATTTCCATTTAACCCACCCATTCCCCTTCCGGAAGAGTTAAAGACGGTGATCCATGTGCACTCACATCTGCAGCAGCATGATTCATAATAACTACATCTTGGAAGCAGCCTGCATGTTCATCAAGAGAAGAATGAATAAAGAAGCGGCAGTATTTACACACGACAGAGTACTACTCTGCCACTCAGAAGGACAGATTTGAATCATTTATAGGAAAACGGATGTACCTTGAGGCTATACATGTACTAATAAACATAAAAATCAAAGGGAAAATGAAGTTATATTTCTATAATTGCACCAATTTTAAAAAAGCAAAGCAAAGCGAAGGGAAGGTGAGCACTGACTTCCCCTAAGAAACACAGCCTGCTCCTGCTGTGGAGCATCCCTGAAACTCTTCAGGGGCCCTCAGAGCCCGAGAGGAGCTGTGGATGGGCAGGGATCCCAGAAGGAGAAAGGCGTCCCCTCCTTATTTGGCCTGCAGGACTCAGAGGCCCTTCCTGCCACTCGGTCACAGTTTGCTGTCACAGCGCCCCCTCAAGTCAACAGTGGGCCTCGCTTGGTGCTTTCCTCAGAGGTTGGCGAGAGGTTTTGCTTCCTTGGCAGCTCACGCTGACTGCACTGTCCCTTTCTGTGGCTTCTTGTTTGCTCTACTTTTCCCGGGACTTGGGTCCGGCCATGTCCCGAAGAAGGATGGTCTGTGACAGAGAGCCTCCTGGTGAAGCCCTGCAGCACAGTTCCCCCCGACACCCCGCCCCGGGCGCCTTTCTGCCTGCAGAGCCCTAGATGACACCAACAGGACAGGACAGTGCCGGGCACCGGGATCCAGAGCTGGGCGCTTGGCTCTGCCAGGCCTGGGATGCTGTGCCGTTTCCTCTGAGGCTTCGTCCTCCGTGACTGCAGTGCGGGATGGAAGTGTCCACCTGGCCGGGACAGGGAGTGACAAGCAGGCTCCAGAAATGCCCCCACTGTGGCATCGCCCTCGCGGGCCTAGTCTCGGGAGCTCCCCCAGCAGCCTTTGCAGAGCCGCGATCGGCAGCCTCCTGTCCATGCACAGCACGGCCCCAGCTTCCCTGGAGTGGCCTGCAGGAGGAAAGGCCACGGGAGGTGCCTGATGCAGGAGGGGAGCCGCTGCCAGCAGAGGAGGGTGCAGGACACGGCAGGAGAAATGAAAGTCAGGAGGCGGAAGGCGCGGCCTCTGAGGTGTCCTGAACACAAGGAAGAGGCTTTGCCAGCCCAGGTGGGAGGAGAGGCTGCGGTGGGCGGTTGCCACCTTCCCTCCCCCGGCTGTAGGCTGCTGAGGAGGTGGACGTGGTGCCTGGCGCCTTGGGAGGGAGCGCACTGCTGTGGGAAGAGGGTTCCGTGGTGGTGAAGCGAGAGTGTGGGTCCGTGAAGCCCCGAGGGGCAGCGCTGGGGCCCCATCTTCAGGGGGCCCACATGGTGCAGCTGCCATTGAGCCCCGTGATGTTCTGGGGGTCCCACAGTACTGAGCAATGATGCGCTGGGGGCGCAGCCCGGGCTCCAGCGCTCTGGGGGCGAGGAGCAGGAAGGGAGCATGCTGGTCAGGGGTGGAGCCCAGCAGCCTGGAATTGCCTCTCCACCCGCCCTGCACTCTTTTGGAAGCGGTACTGGAGAGCGAACTGAGGCCTTGCAGTCAGTGACGCTGCCGGCCTGTCTTCTTTTATTCCGACACAAGCCCGCGTCGACTTTGTCAGCCAACGTGTGACTCTCCTGCCTCGGTTGCCCAGGGTGCTGGGATTCAGGGATGCGCTGCTGCACCCTGTCCTGCCACAGGGTGAATGCTGCGGGAATCCAAGGCGGGTGGGTTCTCTCCCAGGCCGAGCCGAGAAGAGGAGGGCTGCACTCAAGTGGGAGAGAGAGAGAGAGAGAGAGAGAGAGAGAGAGAGAGAGAGAGAGAATAAGAGCTTCCAGTGCTGACTCCTTTCTGTGTGGGCATCGCGGGAAGTCGATTGTTAACAGGAAGCAGGGATGAGATGGTTTTGCAGAGCAGGGTGTGTGCGTGTGGAGAGGGAGAGGGAGAGGGGGAGGAATTGTTTCACTCTTCAGCTGCGCCACTTCACGGTGCAAATCTGCTCGGGGAGTGGTGTCCTGTGGTATCCACGGCAAGGGGCCGTCTCTGGTCTCCCGGAGTTCTCCGGGCACAGGGGACGCCGCGAGCCGAAGCCCAGGGAAGTCCCCGCTCGCCCTGCTGCAGCCGGCGTGGACAGTGATCCTCTTCGTTGCCCTCCAGCGGGGACCGAGGCCGAGGTGGTCAGGGGCCGCCGCCTCTCCCACGCGAGTCGTGGCCTTTGCGTGACAACAGCGCACACAAGCTGAGGACAGCGCGGTCAGAACTGCCCGAGACTCGGGGCTGAGCGTGCAACACCCCAGCAGGACCTCATGGGAGGCTGCGTGGTTCCCGACCACCTAGAAATTCTAGCCCTGGTGGGTAACCAGCAAGGCCATCAGGTGCAGGACAAGGGCTTTTTCTTTCAATTTACTGCAAGTCGAGTTCTTTTTCCATAATGTGTCTAGTGCTGAACAATAAATGTTGTAAGTTGAAATTAGAGCATCTAAGTGTTCAGCCCAAGACTCTTAGAAACATTATGCTGCGGAATACTTCCTTCCCCTTGAAATACTGTTGGGAAAATAATTTCTTTAAATTGGCTTTGTAGTCTTTAAAAATATACCCAATACTGCAAAAGCTGAGTTTCCCATCACTGCAGCTTTCTCTGTGCTTAGGATAGGTAGAGAAAGTTTTGTCTTAAAATAAAAAAAAAATGTTTGTGGTCCTGGGGATTGGACCCAGGGCCTTGCCACTGAGCTATAGCCCCAGCCCTTTTAATTTCATTTTTTTTTGGTTTTTGAGACAGGGTTTCTCTATGTGGTTCAGGCTGGCCTCAAACTTACTGGGATCCTCCTGTCTCAGCTTCCCAAGTGCCAGGAAGAGTGGGCTGAATCAAAGTGACCTGGCCATGGGTCTTAAATGACCAAGCAGCCAGGTGCCGTTTCTCCCCAGCAGGCAGGAGGATGGTGCTGTTTCTCCCCAGCAGGCAGGAGGAGGAGCTGTGGGGAGAGGGCAGAAGGGTGGAAGGAAGGAAGGAAGGAAGGAAGGAAGGAAGGAAGGAACTGACAGAAGGGGGCATTTCTCCAAAATGAGAGAAGACTGGCATAAGAAGTACCTTGCTGAATGCTTGGTCCCTCCAGAAACCCTGAGGTCCCAGTTCTTGTCCCTCCAGTCTCGGTGCCTTTGTAACTTTTCTCCCCTTGCTGAGACAAACAACAACAAAAGTTAAAAGGAAAAGTTTATTTAGCTCACAGTTTGTAGAGGTTTCAGTCCATAATTAGCTGGATCCAGGGCAGGGTGGATGGCAGGGGAGGTCAGAGAGGAGAAACAGTTCATGGTGGGCAGAAGGCACCAAAGCAGTAGGGAACAGATGAGCCTCTTTCTGTTCTCTTATTGTATCTATGGTATGGATTAGGGTCGGCCAAGCCAGCAGTGGCTGATGTAGAAGTCATCACCCTTGCTCCCAGCACCCTCGATCATGGTCCCACTCTGGATGCAGTCCCCTCTGAGGAAGCTCCGCCTCTGACTGCAGAGGCTTTGGGTGCGTCCAGGCCCAGGTGATGCTCAGTCTCCACATGAGAGTGCAGCTGTGGCCCTGAGCCTTTCCTTCTCCATTTGCGTTGGACTTGGAGTCTACACTGTCAGGACAAGCAGTCACCAGTGTGGCCCTGTGGGGGACAGGAAACAGCGCCAGCAGTGACACAGCAGGACCGGGGTCACAGCCAGCCCAGTGCTGGCACCAGGGCCCAGTGGGCGTGGACGCCAGATCTCGGTCCGACATGGAGCTCAGCACGGGCACAGGAAGCCAGTGAGCTGCACCCAGGGCCACCAGGACTCCCTGTCAGGGCGGCGACTGCCGATGGCCCACAGGGGTCAGCAGAGGTGCTTACCCAGCATCTCTGTGGCTGGCCCTGATGTCCCCACACCCCTTTCCATCCCTGTCTTGGGAGAAGACCAAACTGTCTTTCAGGGTGACCCAGGCTGGCCTTCCTGGCCCAGTCAGGCCTGGAGGTCAAACGGCCCCGCTGAGCTCCATCCTGGCCCCGTGGGTGATGCCAGGGTTGGCCCTTCTGTCAGAGCAGCTGGCGGGTAGCTTCCCAGCCACACTGTCAAGGTGCAGGTGTTGGTGCTGGACCCCGTCTGGCCGAGTTCCTTCGGGTTCCTCCCTGGCTGCGTCGGCCAGCCCAGGTCCCGGGGGACAGCACCTTGCCCATCGCCACCACCCACCCCTGGTCTCCTCCCCCTGGGGTCCCACGAGGAGGTGGGGGCCGGTAACCCCGCCTGTGCCCAGTGCCGCTCTACAGCCCTTGCCGGACTCCACCTATGCCCCGGCACACCAGGCCCTCTATGGGATGGATGGGGCGGGGTGGTGGGGGGGAAGCATGAAGGGATCCCTCCCCCACAGCAATCCGCAGAGCCCCAGAACAGCTTCGGGGACTCAGGCTGGGGAGGACGGGGGTGGGGGCATCCAGGAGGCGTTTTGGGTCCTCTGAGGTCACGGTCGCTACCTCCATGCCTGCCACGAGACGCTAAGCACTCTGCCCGTGGCTGCCGTGGCAAGGAGTCTCATACCCCGAGGGCTGGATCTGAAAGGTCAGGTCTTTCGGAGGTGAAGATTCGGGCTCATTTCCCTTTCCTTTCGGGAGGAAGATTCATCAGTTAGTAATGGTTGCATGATGCTGGTGAAGATGGTGAGGTGGGTGGAGAGGGAAACTAAAAGTGATTGTTCAGAAACTGGCATGGCTGTGGGAGGCTGAGGCAGGAGGATCGCAAGTTAGGGCCCAGCCTGGGCAACTAAGTGACTTAGTGAGACCCTGTCTCAAAGTAAAATTAATAATTAAAATAAAAAAGGCCGGGGCTGCAGTTCAATGTGCAGGACCTGGGTTCGATACTCAGTACCCGAAAAAGAAAGAAAGGAAGGAAGGAGAAAGGCAGAGAAAGAGGAAAGGAAGAGAGACACAGCTGGGACAGCAGGAAGAGCAGCCCTGCCTGGTATTTGGGTGGTGCCCGGGCGTACAGGAAAGAAGCAGTTGAACAGGGGTAGAGAAGAGG